AACAAACTGCTGAATGTCACTTCCCTTCTGCAAGTAAAAACTTCCTTCCAGCAGCTGCTTCTTGGCTTGTCAATTTAAAGCGACAGCATCTTTTTTTTTTCCCTTCCTCTTTGCCAAGTGATCTCCTGGCTGAGAAGTTTTCTAGCCGATCAGTTGGGAGGCTTCTTGGCTTCTCAATTTAAAGCAACAGTGTCTTTTTTTCCTCTCTCTCTCTCTTCTTTGTCAAGTGAGCCCTGATTTTTTCCGTCGAGCTGATCAGCTGGGAGTCGGGAGGCAGTGAATTGATTGGGGGCGGGGCCAGGCAAAGGTATTTACCAGTTCTCTGAACTATTCAAAATTTCCACTACCAGTTCTTGCGAACCGGGGAGAACCAGTAGCAACCCACCACTGATTACAGTTAAAAGGGAAAGAGCACAACAGGAAGAAGCTAGAGCAAAAGAACAAAGAGAAATAAGAACCACTAAAACTGCTAGACCGATCTACAAGTTAAAAGATGGGAGAAGAAACTACTTCAAAGTCAGTCAATGTTAACGGATTGAATTCGGCAATGAAAAGGAAAATATTTTTCAATTGTTTCATCAATTGGAAGCTGTGAGAGATTGAGGGGGCTGGAAAATGGCTATTGGTACTTGCTGCCCATACTTCCCCCCTCCCCTCCCTCCTTTTTCTACCGAGTTGAGACCTTGTTGGCTTTATTATGGTTATAACTACCCAACCTATCCTGGCCTGCTGAGCTGTTCCTACTTTCCCCCATTTCCATCAAGCCATCTCTGAATCTCCTGCCTTTGCAAGATTTCTCCTGAACTAAATTTCGAACTAAATCCTGCTCATGAGCTGGAGGATTGGGCTTTCTGACTTCTCCTAACCCATATGGGGAACTGGATCTATGGACTCGAGGCCGGTGGGAGTCGGTGTATGGCTGCCTTCACTCCCGTTGTCCATCAAAGTTTTATTGGTTGGCCTTTGTAAGAGTACGGTTGGCCAAGAAACTTCCGGGGGTCGGAATGGCATATATCTCCCTCTCCATTGCTGTGAGAGGGTAATGGAGCCCAGTTGCCTGTGCCATGGACTGGAACTTTTTCCCCTGTACTATAACATCATGGTGGTCTCCCGACCATGGACTTTTCTCACCCCTAACGATTTGATGTATTCAGTGTCTGAACTCCTTGCCCTGTGAGATTTCCCCCTCTCACAGATTTGGCCCTCCACTTTATCGAGGGCCTATCTCGATGACGGATTTTGGAATCCTGAGAGATGGCATGGCGCAAGGAAAGGCTTGTGGGGTTTTTTGGGGAAGTTTTTAAATAAGATTTTAAAGGGTTCAGGGAGGGGGGGGTTAACAATCTTTTAAGGGGAACTGAGAGAACGACCAAAGGGGATTTGGGGGGGGGAAATCCACTAAGGTCGGAGCTGAGCCCGGCACGGGGCAACGGTTTGGAGGGTGCTGGACGAGGGATTGGGGAGGGGATGGAGGGCTATACCAATGAGGGATGGACCATTAGCATGGTGGATGGGAAGGGCAGATATGGCGGGAGCAGGAGACCATATCACGTGTCGGGGGAGCGCACTCGCTGTTTGAGAGCTATTGCGCACCCTGGTCTCCAAGGCTCCTCTTGGATACTAGGTGGCTCGGATACTCAGGATCTGGGCCTTTGGCTGATGCTGTGCAACGCCAGGTCCGTGGTAAATAAGACCCCCCTCATCAACGATCTTATACAGGAGGGGGGAGCGGACTTGGTGGGTATTACGGAGACCTGGTTGGGCCTGGAGGGAGGGGTTCCCCTGGTTGAGATGTGCCCACCAGGCTTCAGAGCATTCCATCAGCCAAGGGCCCAGGGGAGGGGCGGGGGGTGGCGGTTATTATTAACGAAGGTCTTGGTGCGAGGGAGACCACTGTGCCACAGATTGCCGGATGTGAATCCCTCTTTGTGAGATGGGGTCATGGGGTTCAGAAGGGCTTGTTGCTTGTGTACCTGACTCCCTGCCGCGTGGCAACGGCCCTGCCCAAGCTCCTCGATGTGATAGCCATGGTGGCAGTTGATACATCCAGGTTTATGGTCATGGGTGATTTCAATTTGCCGTCCATTGGTGAAACGTCCGAGATGGCTCGGGAGTTCATGGCTTCCATGATGGCCATGGACCTGATCCAGCTAGTTCACTCCCCCCACAGGGGGGGGGGTCACACTCTGGACTTGATTTTTGTCTCTGGCCAGTGGTTGAGTGGTCTTGTTATAGGGGATATAAACATGGAACCCTTGTCATGGTCAGATCACTCACTCCTTCGCCTGGACCTTCGAACCACTACATCCCGCCGCAGGGAGGCGGAGCCAATAAGATGGGTCCGCCCCAGGCGCCTGATGGATCCTGAGAGGTTCCAGATGGAGCTTGGGCCACCTCCTGAGGATCTGGCACATGACTCAGCCGAGGACCTGGTGGCTGCCTGGGATCGGGCGGCTGGTGGCGCCTTGGATCGAGTCGTGCCTCTGCGGCCTCTGACCCGGTGCCGATCCCTCGCAGCTCCTTGGTTTACCGAGGAGCTGAGGGAGATGAAGCGCCGGAAAAGACGCCTGGAGAGCGGTTGGAGGGCCAGTCTCGCCGAATCTGACCGAACACTAGTAAGGTCACATATTAAGACCTACATAGTGGCGATAAAAGCGGCAAAGTTTAATTACTTTTCCGCTCTTATTGCGTCATCAGAGAATCGTCCGGCTGCCCTGTTCAGGGTGACCCGCTCCCTGCTTCAACCGCGGGAGGACCCCCTGGAAGACAGGGCTGAGGATTTCGGACAATATCTGTATGACAAAATCGCTCAGATCCAGGGGAATTTGGACTCTGACTGGGTAGATTCAGGCAGGGTGGTGAGGAATAGTCTTGAGAACGTTATCTGGGAAGAGTTTGACTCTGTGACCCCTGATGACATGGACAGGATTTTGGGGAGACTTAGTGCGGCCACATGTTTACTGGATCCGTGTCCCTCCTGGTTAGTACTGGCTTCCCAGGAGGTTACACGAGGCTGGCTCCAGGGAATTATTAATGCTTCGTTGAGTGAGGGTTACTTCCCCACAGCCTTGAAAGAGGCTGTGGTGAGGCCTCTCCTCAAGAAGCCCTCCCTGGACCCTGCAGTATTGGCCAACTACCGTCCTGTCTCCAACCTTCTCTTCATGGCGAAGGTTGTTGAGAGTGTGATTGCACGACAACTGCCTCAGTACCTGAATGAATCGAATTATCTAGATCCGTTCCAGTCGGGTTTCAGGCCTGGGCACAGCACGGAAACGGCATTGGTCGCGTTGGTAGATAATCTCTGGAGGGCTCGGGACAGGGGTTGCTCCTCTGTTCTAGCCCTGTTAGACCTCTCAGCGGCTTTTGATACCATCGATCATGGTATCATGCTGCACCGGTTGGAAGAGTTGGGGATGGGGGGCACCGTGTTATGGTGGTTCTCCTCCTTTCTCTCTGACCGGTCGCAGTTTGTGTTGGCAGGGGGGCAGAGGTCAACCTCGAGGCCTCTCATCTGTGGAGTGCCTCAGGGGTCGGTCCTCTCGCCCCTTTTGTTCACCATTTATGTGAAGCCGCTGGGTGAGATCATCCGTGGCTTTGGGGTGAAGTACCACCAGTACGCTGACGACACCCAGCTGTACATCTCCACCCCAGGCCACCCCAACAATGCCCTTGAAGTGATGTCTCAGTGCCTGGAGGCTGTGCGGATCTGGATGGGGAGGAACAGGCTCAAGCTCACCCCTTCCAAGACTGAGTGGCTGTGGTTCCCGGCATCCCGATATAGTCAGCTGACTCCATCGCTGACTATTGGGAGCGAGTCTTTGGCCCCCTCTGAGAGGGCACACAATCTGGGAGTCCTCCTAGATACGCAGCTGTCCTTGGGGGAACATCTGATGGCTGTAGCCAGGGGGACCTTTTGTCAGGTTCACCTGATTCGCCAGTTGCGACCCTTTCTTGATCGGGATTCCATGTGCACAGTCACTCATGCCCTCGTCACCTCTCGCCTGGACTACTGCAACGCTCTCTACACAGGGCTCCCCTTGAAGAGCACCTGGAGGCTCCAACTGGTCCAGAATGCGGCCACATGGGTAATTATGGGAGCTGCATGGCGCTCCCACATAACACCGCTCCTGTGCGAGTTGCACTGGCTCCCAGTGGTCTTCCGGGTGCGCTTCAAGGTGTTGGTTACCACCTTTAAAGCGCTCCATGGCATAGGACCTAGTTATCTTCGAGACTGCCTGCTGCTACCGACAACCTCCCATCGTCCCGTGCGCTCCCACAGAGAGGGCCTCCTCGGGGTGCCATCAGCCAAACAATGTAGGCTGGTGACCCCCAGGGGGAGGGCCTTCTCTGTGGGAGCACCTACCCTATGAAACCAGCTGCCCCCTGAGATAAGGAGAATCCAAGACCTTGGTGCCTTCCGCCGTGCCCTTAAAACTTCCTTTTTTCATCAAGCCGGGCTGGCTTAACATATTTTTAAATTTTAAATTTTTAATTGGTTTGTCATTTTAAACTGGGGCCAAATTAATATATATTCTTTTAATTGTTCTTACTGTTTGTATTGTATGTTTTTATCTGGCTGTACACCGCCCTGAGTCCCTTGGGAGAAGGTGCAGTATATAAATTTGAAATAAAATAAAAATAAAATAAAATAAATAAACTAAAAAAATTGAACTTAGATTTGATTTGTCTCCAGGAAGTACATATAAAAAAGGACCACTATATAAACTATTGGAAAACCCTAAAATGGGTTTTCACATTGGCACAGCAGAAAAAAAGAGGGGTGGCCCTCTACATCAAAGAATCCATAGAATCAAAACAAATTGATAAAGACGAAGAGGGAAGAATTTTGATAGTGGAAGTAATATTGAATTATAAATGGACATTTTTTTTTTATTGAAAGATTATGGTTTTATTTTCTCAAAATAATCTGAGACTCTTCAGTTCAAATAGAAAACTTCCAGCTACAAGATGTGTAATGTCCCCAGATTGCCATTTCAGGACTATCGGGTTTTATTCATCAGCTTGTTGTGCTGTTCCCTTCTCAGAGACATACTGTATTTCTCCCCAAGGAAGTTACGGATCTCGATCAGGGAGCCATTTTCTTGAATAATGATGTTGATGGGGAAGTGGGCGTACACAGACCTCATCTTATAACGAAAGCCCAAGGTAACCCCCTTGATCATGTTTTGCACATGACTGCAAATTGTGCGAACAGTTGCCAGCTCCTTTCTGTTACCCCACCATTTGTCAACATGCAGCTTCTTGCATTTTTTCCCCAAAAGAGAGAATTCCACATTGATGTGGTTGAAATCCCTTTTCAAAGTTCCTCTGGGGCCTTTGACAGTAACTGTCCGCCCCTTCAGGATAATGTCGACTTTCTCAGGAATGTCAACTGTTTGGTTACTAAGAATGGTCTTCATTTTTAATTTTTCGCATTGACAGGAAAGAGGAAAGGCATAAATGGACATTATTAACAGTAATATATATGCACCAAATACTTACCAAGAAGCTTTTTATGAAAAATTACACAAAAAAATTACAGAAATAAAATATGATAACATCTGTTTTGTGGGAGACTTTTAACACAGTTGTTGATGCAAAATTAGGCTATAAAAATAGCAAAACAAATAAAAAAGCTAGGAGAACTTTACCAAAGACCTTTTTTAAAATGATGGAGGAACTAGGAATTAAAGATTCTTGGAGGGAATTACAACCAGAGAAAAAGCAATATACTTTTTATTCAAATATGAATAAATCATGGTCAAGAATTGACATGACATGGATGTCACCAGAATTGCAAGAGAATATACAAGATGTGGAGTCAAGTATCTGGGCAGACCATAACCCAATAAAAGTAAAATGGAAAGGTCAAACAACAAAACCAAGATGGACATTAAAGCAGTCAGCATTGGAAGATAAAGAGTTTATAAAGAAAATGGAGAAGGAAATTGAATTCTTTTTCAAAGAGAATAAAAATGGAGAAATGTCCCTGCAAAATGTATGGGATACTGCCAAGGCATATTTCAGGGGATTAGTGATCTCCTATATAGGAAGGAAAAATAATAAGAAGAAAAGATGAAAGGAATTAGAAGAAGAATATAAAAGAATAGAATCAGAACTACAGAGAGACCCGCAAAAAAGAAATGGTAAAAATCAAATAGAACTAGTAAAGCATGAATTAAATATTTTAGAGAAAGAGGAACTGGCACAAAAAAATCAAAGCAGCTAAACAAAACCTCTTTGAAAATGCAAATAAGCCGGGAAGGTGGTTGTCATTCAGACCCAAAAAGGAGAAAGAAAAGAAATTTGTATCAATTTCAATCAATTTACAAGACGAGACGGGTACAATTCGACACAAAAATGAAGACAAGAAAAAATAAATAAAAGAATTTTATGAAAAACTGTATAGCAAAGAAAACATACTAGAAGATAAAATTAAACAATATATGGAAGAAGTCAACCTACCCAAAGTGCTGGACAAAGTGAAAACAATGTTGAACGAAAGAATTACAATGATGGAGTTAACGGAAGCAATTAAGAGGCAAAAAAACAAGACACCAGGACTGGATGGCCTACTGGCAGAATTTTATAAATACTTACAAGAGATCTTAGGTCCATCCATGCTTGAAATCTGCAATGAAGTATTGTTGGAAGCAAAGATCCCTAAAACATGGATAGACAGAATTATAACATTGATACATAAAGAAGATTCCAATTTATTACAAATAAAAAATTACAGACCAATATCATTGTTAAATGTAGATCACAAAATCTATGCCTCAATAATTGCAGAAAGACTGAAAAGATTTTTAAATGATTTCATACACACAAAGTAGAATGGCTTCCTACCTAAGAGGCAAATCAAAATTAACATGCGGATGATTCTGAACACACTGGAATATTATAAGACACATTCAGGAAAGCAGATGGATATGATTTTTCTGGACACACAGAAAGAGTTTGATAATTTGAGTTGGCAGTTTATGTTTGTACAATTAAAATATGGACTGTGGAAAGACCAACATGATTAAAACACTATACCATAGACAAACAGCAAAGGTGATTATGAATGGTGACATGACCGAGAATTTCAACATAACAAAAGGCACAAGATAAGATGTCCCTTATCCCCACTGTTATTTATACTGACATTAGAGGTATTAGCAGAAATGTCAGACAAGATAATGAAATAAAAGGTATGAGAATTAAGAAGGAGGAATACAAGTTGCAGGCATTTGCCGATGACTTGGTGTTTATTTTAGAAGACCCACAGGAAACAGGACCTAAATGAATCACAAAGATAGAAGAATATGGGGCAGTTGCAGGTTTGAAAATAAATAAAGAAAAAAATGAAAATATTGTTTAAAAACTTTACAGACAAACAAAAGAGAATTTACAAGAATAATGAACATGCAAATTGTAAAGAAAGTCAAACACCTAGCGGTTCAATTAACAGCAAGATGTGCGACTCTCTTTTTGTGGGTTTGGTTTCCATCCTGGTTCCCTTTCTACAAAATGTGTATCATCTGGTCGGTTTTTATTCTGCTTTGTAGATTGGTCTTGTTGGTTTTGCTTTTGTATCTCATGTTTCTTTTTTATCCCTTGTATATCCCCTAATTGGTTTCCATGTTTATCCTTGCCTTGATAAGTCATCACATTAAGATTAGATGCCTCTTCTCTCAAATTTGTAGATAGTCCAGCTGGGGTATCCAATAAATCCAAAGGCAATTCATCTGGTACAGTCTCTGTAATTCGATATTTTACCTTTATTTCCGGCTCCTTCTGCTTATCCTGTATTATACCTGAAGATGTTAAGTTCATTTTCAACCTATTTTGATAAAATTCTTCCGCTCTTTCAACAGTATTTAGCTGATATCTTTCTCCTTGGTATCTAAATATAATACCAACTGGGGCGTCCCACCTGAATGAGATATTTCTCTTTTTTAACTCATTCACCAGAAAACCAAATTTCTTCCTTTCCATCAATATCTTAGGTGGGAGTTCCTTATAAATCCAAATCTTTCTTCCATACAATTGCAAATTAGAATTGAAGGAATTTTGTACGATATTATTCCTAATTTCTTTATCTGTAAAATAAATCACCACATCTCTAGGCAATTGCCTTTGCTTGGCAATCCAGGAGTTGATTCGATAAACTCTGTCGATCCTACAAAACACTTCGTCAGGTTGAACCTTTAGAATCCCAGCTAGAAATTCAGAAGATATTTTCCTTAAATCATCTCTATTATTTTCCTGCAAACCTCTTAATCTTATCGCATATTCTGTGAAATTATATTGTACCATTAAAATCTCTTTTTCAATCTTCTGTTGCAGATTTTCTGCATTACCATACTTTTGATCAGCATCCATTTTAGGTTTTTCTTCTAAGCTATTATCCTGAGTGTTTGTCAAATCATTTTCAATTTTTTGAATTCTATTGTCCAATTTATCTTGAATTTCTTCCATTTTAGACTCTAGTACATTAGTATTTGTGTCCAACTGTATCATAAATCCTGTAAAACCATTAACCACTTTTGAGAATTTTTTCTCCAAAAAATCAAACTTAGATTTCACCAATTTTTTAATTTCCTGCTTAAATTTTTCAAATTGCTGATTCACAATCTCCTCCCTTCTTTCAATCTCCTCTATAAAAAATTCTATTATATTAAAATCAGGTTTCTGAGACTGAAGAATTAAGACTTGTTCCTTTAAGTTGTTGGTGGGGGGATCCCCCCCCCTTCTTGTTTATCTGACTTTATGAGTCTCAGTGCCATGTTTCCGCCCAGGCAGGCTTTGTTAAAAAAAAAGCAAGAAAGAAAGAAAAAAAGGACTTCTTTCCAATCAACAACAATATCAGGTCTCCAAGGGAAAAAAAAGAGAAAAAGACACAGGAGCGAAGTTTTGTCTACAAATGTAGCCAGTGGTATTTATTCCGCTACATTGTAGTAATAGAAAACGGAAGGACTTTCCCTTTCAGCCTCTCCTCCAGCCGACGCCATTTTAAAAGGCTTTTTTTTTCCTCTTTCTTTTCCTCCTCTCTCTTAAGTAATTTTTTTTAAAAAATCAGTAAAATACTTGCGGTTCAGTATTACAGGTCCAGCTCACATTTTCTTTGAGTAGTCTGTTAAATTTGCAGGCTTGCTTTTGACGCCTGGCTCTGCATCAGCAGAGGTCTCCCAAAGCCCGGAGCGGCGGCTGGGGATACGGGGCATCTCATCCGCTCTGTCCCAAAAGTAAAGGAAAAACTTTTGGGACTCCGCAGAGAGTTCTACCCACCCCTGCCGGCTCTATCTCCATTTCCTCATGGAAACGGAGTTTTTTCGAGCCGCCATTCCGTTGTGAAGGTGGCTCTAACAGGCGATGGAAGCTGACGATCCCAAAGGAACGTCTGGCAGCGACAAACAGCAACCCGGAAGTCAAGATGTGCGACTCTCAAAGAAGATAACTATGACAAACTGAAAGCACAAATTAAAACGGATTTGGAAAATTGGTAAATCCTGCAACTGTCCCTATTGGGTAGAATAGCCACAATCAAGATGAATATTCTGCCGAGATTATTATAACTGTTTCAGACGATCCCAATAAAATTGGGGAAAAAATATTTTGAAGACCTAAATAAGATGATATTAAAATTTGTATGGTAAGGAAAAAAGGCAAGAATAAAATTTAAAATGTTACAAGATCTTAAAAGTAGAGGAGGTTTTGGTCTTCCAGATTGGGAACTATATTACCAAGCATCGGCACTTACATGGGTGAATCTGAGGAATATAAGGCTATTAACATTGGAAGGTCATGATTTGCAATTAAGATGGCATGCCTTCCTATGGTACGAGAAGGGCAAGATACACAGCTACTTCCAGAGGCATCAAATTAGACATGTATTACTGCTAGCATGGACCAAAATTAAAGATCAACACTACCTGAAAGTGCCAGTATGGTTATCTATAATGGAGGCATGGATATATCCTAACGTCATAAATATGGATAAAATTATACGATATAAGAACATATTAAACAAATGGGGGGGAGGGCTAAAAACAAAACAAGAACCAAAAAGTTAGGGATTGACCTATCATGGTGGCCACAGTTGCATATGCAATCCAGGTATGAAAAAGATAGGCAGGAGTATGAGTTTTACAACAAACCAAATGAGCTAGACCAGATTCTAATGGGAACAGGTGAAAAATTAATCAAGAGGATATACAACTACTTATTAACTTACAAATTGGAGGAAGAACAAGTAAAAGAAACTATGATAATTTGGACCAAGAATTTGGCTATAAATAGATTTGGACAGGTGGTATAAATTATGGAATAGAAATCATAAACTCACAATGTCAACAGCGTATAAAGAAAACCTCTATAAAACATTTTATAGATGGCGTTATTCACCTGCAAGATTAACAAATATGTATAAAAA